TGTGTTTGTTTCTTTTAAGTAGGCTCCATGCCTAGTGCAGAGCCCAACATGGGGCTTGAACTCATGGCCCTGAGACCAAGACCTGAGCTGAGATCAGGAGTTGGACACTGAACCGACTGAGCCACCCAGGCATCCCCGATTGTAAGGACTGTTAAGGGGAGTTTTTAAACATTTAATAATACATTCAAAAATAAGTGAATGGGTCACTTGCTTTGGTTTGTAATCCATTCTTAGTGAAGCAGATTGCAGTTCCAGTTGGGCACCTTCAGCCCTTCCCTTCATTTTGAAGGACATGCTTACCTGGTGTGGTTGAACCCCAGGAAGCCAACTGCACCTGGTGTCCTTGAGGCACTAGGATGACACACAAGGCAGCTCCCACTGGTCCTGACAGGATCCCTTCCTGTGACTTCACCCTCTTCTTATTCTTTCCTCCTCCCCTCCAGCCTGTGTTTGGGGGTCCTCAGTATTCTCACATGTGCTTTCTGGTTGTAAATGTGGACATACTCAAGAATCTTTACAGCTGAAATTCTGTTGAGCCTGGGGTGAACTCAAGAATTCAATCAGCCCATAAAAAATGTTTATCAGCCCCCAAACCTTTCATTGGCTTTTCTCACAGTTATTGATTTCTTGATGAAAAGACATCTGATGACAGTCGAGTGCTGTAGAAAGGCCTAGCAGTGTACCGAGTTTGGAAAGTCACCCAGAGTGCTATCTCGTGGCCTTCTGAGTAACTGGCTCTTGGCAAAGGGTCCAGAACTGGCCACTTTGGACTCCTTTCCTCTGCTCCTAGCTGGTGTGAGGTTTTCCCACCCAGTTTCAAAATCACTTTTGAAAATGTTGCCCAAATGCTTCCTTGATTCAGTTTTTTTTTTTCCTTGACTTTCATCTATTTGGGATGAAAGCCACTATTTTGTCCATTCTACCCAGACACCGGGTGCCTTGGCCGAGGGCCATGGTCTTATTCCTGGGCCATGAGATCGGTGCTGGTCTTGTGGCAAAGAAAGGGAGTGAGCCTCGCCTACTGTCACCTCTGAAGGCCCCACTGCTGGTGGGATGCCACTGCCTCAGGCCTCAAGGTCTCAGGTCATCAGCTAGAAATAGAGTTCCTCCCGGTGCCGAGGTACAGAGGAAAATCACTCCTCAGCTCACCCACCACTCTTGGCACAAACCAGGGGCAGGAAGGGTGCCTGGTACAACCTCAGAAACCAGAAAGCTCTGGCACTAAGTGTCAGGGATGATAGCAAAAGAAGTGCTTCTCAAGCTTTTCTGTCCAAGGGCCACCCACCGGAAAGAGGGGGACACATTTTTTTTTTCGGAACTTGAGGGACATAGCATTAAGCTTCCTGTCCAAAATGCCATATTTTCTTTAAAGAGTCACATTTTGCCTTAGAAGTTCATATGAATTTCTCTGCTCATAAAATGTCAAACTTGTTTAAATACAAAATTAGCACATTCTCTGGTCTTGATTAAAATTTCTTATATATTGGGGTGCCTGGTGGTTCAGTGGATTGAGCCTCCAACTCTTGAATTTGGTTCAGGTCATGACCTCAGGGTCTTGAGATGGAGCATTGGGCTCCACACTCAGTGGGGATTCTGCCTGGGACCCTCTCTCCCTCTCCCTCTGCCCTTGACCCCGCTCACACGCATACCTGTGTGTGCTCTCTTTCTAATAAATAAATAAATCTTTAAACATTTTTCATATGTACTATGTGGCTTTAACTCCCAAGAAGCTCAAACCCCAGTTTATGAAGTGGGAATCATGTTTACACTCAAGAGAACTGATCAGATGTCTGCCATTCATGAGATTACTGATCCTGGGAACCTTGCTTAACTGTGTTGATCCTTAGTTTCCTCACCAGTCAAGTAAAGACAGCAATAGATCTACCCTCATAATCATAGCTGTAAAAATTACCTAGAAAAATTTGTATGAAGCTAGTACCTGGCATTGTGAAACACCCAGTAAATGGTACTTCTCCGTGTATGAATGTGGATGTGTTGTAACGGGGTAGAAAGGAAAATCAAAGATAATTCCTTATGCTGAGAGAACCTCAACATTTTGGCTTAGAGGTTATCTCATTCACGCAGAGGAAACTCCTGTTGCAGGGAGTTCACCTCACCTGTACTTCCAACCAGGTGTCCCAGATTGTCTGCAGGCAGTTCCATTAGAAAGCGTATCTCTATCTGGAATGAACATCTCTCACCTGGACTTAGCACTACCTTTTTGGTGGTAGCTATATATATTGCAGTTTCAAACAACCATGAATGTTGAACATAAAACTAGCTTTTTAATGCACATAGTCCATAGTGTAAATAATTAAAGTTGTAAAAATTTGCTTCCCTGAGACATATAGTCTGTATTTTGGGAGAAGCAAATCTAAATATGGCAGTTCTGAATTTAAATGTCCCTAAAGGCTTAAGAATATGTCAAGTTGGAGAACGTGATGTGGAGCCAGTTCGTTGAGTAGAATCTACCTTCAGTCAGCATTCCAGCTTTGACCAGCTGCACTGGACAAATTTAAAAGTTCCACGGATTGCTAAACATTCTCCCCAAAGCTGGTGAGCCCTGGAAATAACACATGGCACATGAAGACAACTCCATTCCTTGGTATTCCGAGAAGGATAATAAGGGACAAACAGACTGTGGAGTATATATGTGTATATAATGGAAGTCACAGAGGAGAAGGGGAGAAGAATTATTTGAGGAAATAATGGTTGAAAACTGCACAAACCTGATGAAAACCATCAGAGTACACATCTAGGAAGCCGAGTGAATCCCAAGTAGGGATTTACATCTACACACATCATAGCCGTGCTGCTCAACAAAAAAAAGATCTTGAAAGCAGCAAGGAGAAGATGACTCATCCAATACCGGTGAGAATCAAAAGGATTGATGCAGGAGAAGCCAGGTCTGGGATGATACCTTCAACGTGCTCAAAACCAAACAAAACTGTCGACTGAGAATTCTAGATTCAGAACAATCGCCCTTCAGAAATGAAAGTGAAATAAACACATAACCGGATCAACAAAGAGAAGTCATTCCTAGTAGACTTGCCCTACAAGAAACACTGCAAGCTGAAGGAAAATGACACCAGACAGGAACTCAGATCCACAGGAAGAAATGAAGAACACCGAAAATGGTAAATATGTAGGTTGATAGAAAAAAGTGTCTGTAAGTATATTGTTTTCTCACTTCTTGTCTTCTTTAAAAGATACAAAGTTAGGAGCACTTGGGTGGCTCAGTTGGTTAAGTGTCTGCCTTTGGCTCATGTCATGATCTCAGGGTCTTGGGGATCCAGTCCCGTATGGGGCTCTGCTCAGTGGGGAGTCTGCTTCTCCTGCTCCCTCTGCCCCTCCCCCTGCTGGTGCTCTCTCTGTCTCTCAAATAAATAAATAAAATCTTTAAAAAACGAACTAAGAAATTATTTTAAAAATCAAAAGATACAAAATGTATAAGCCAATAAGTATAACATTTTATTGTTGGGTTTATGCATATAAATAGAATATATATGACAATAATAACATAAAGGAGAGGGGAAAGACTGGAGCTCTCAAAGATATTTATTTTATCAGATTTAAGTGAGTATTAATCTGAGAAAGACCATGATAGGTTAAGATGCACACTGTAAGAGCAATCACCAAGAAAATAGTAAAAAAGAAAAATTAAGAGAAAAATTAAAATGGTACCCTAAAGATATTTATTTAAATAAAAAAGGAGGGGCTGGTAAGGAGGAACACAGGAAAGAAAAAGACAGGAGACATGTAAAAACAATAAAAAATGGCAAATGCAAATCCAAACCCATCAATGACTCCATCAAATGTAAATGCTCACAGAGGGTAGTGATGAGTGTCATAATGGTAGCTAATCTCTCCCGACAGCTTCCTACCTGCAGGTCCTAGACCAGCATTTTAGATAGTTTTCTCTTATAATCCTCATAATAGCCCTGTAGGGTGGATGTTCTCATTTCCACTTTAGGCATGAGGAAACAAGGAAAATTGCGATTGAAGAACTTGCCCAGGGATGATAGAACAAGAAAAGAGAAGAGCCCCTTGGAATCAAAATGACTCAGTGTGAAAAACCTAACCTGACGCTAACGATGAAGTGAATGCAGACACGCAGTGGGAGCGGACTCGGGGAGAACCAAGCAGTGTCAACCACTGTCCTTAAACGCTTCCCGTGTTAACCCCTGTGGTCTTCACAGCAGCACTTCAAGGTGGGCGGCGCTGTTATTTTCTCTCTTTACAGGTGAAGAAACCGAGGCGCGTTAAAATTACCTTGCCGAGGTCACAGGAGAAATGGTAGAATGAGGCTTTAAACTGAGAATCTGGCTGTAGAGCCTGTGTGCCCTATTATGTTGCCTCTCAAGTACTCCCATTTTTCCCCCCAACTCATCCATTAAATTACAGAGAAAATGGGGGAAAGGGAGCCTGCAGGTAGCTCTGAAAAGGGAGCAGGGTCCTACAACGGAAACCTAGGGTGGGATGGGGAGGGATGGGGAGGGATGGGGAGGCAATGTACTGGTAATTCCTGCTTTATCATCATGATGGGGATTGGTTTTTGAGCAAATCATGCAAGTTTCAGATTGTTCATTCCAATTATCACTCCTTCATTCATAAGTAATTACTCTCGAGCTTCCTTCTTCTCCCTCACAGAGAATGGGAGAGGGTTAGCCATTAGAAAACTACTATTTTAAAGAGCACCTCATATAATCCTCCTAACCACCCTGTGAATTAGGTGTTACTGTCACCATTTTGTTGATGAGGAAGTGGAGGCTCTGAAAAATTCATTGCCAACGATCATAAACCTTGTATGTGGTGGAGCCAGGATGTGAGGCCAGGTTCGCCTACTCCCAGTGTCCACACACTTCCTCCTGTGCCTGGGGGGAGGGAGCCTGGCATCAGAGTGATCTTCAGGATTCACTGCATTCCATCGCCTTGATTTGAGGCAGTCAGTGGTGAGCCATTAGCAAGAAGGGAGTTTACAGAAACCAAGCCAGTTGTCATTCGTTTAATTTTTTATTTGAACATCAAATAGATTGAGAAAATTGTTTACAGGTGCTTGAGCATCCCACTGGACTCCTTACTTTTTAAAAGGTGCAAAAGAGGTTTACAAGTGTGTTTCATTAAACAATGCGAAGCTGCAACAAAACAGAATCACATCAATAATAGTATGCATCAGCGAAAAGGCATATTAAACCATCAGACACAATTTGGCATATAAGCCTTTTCCCATAAAACAAGAGCTCTACATTGAAGAATATGCTGTGCACAAAAAGCATTGTATATAAGCTGTGAGAGAACATAAACTGGCATAATGTCACTTATTAATTCAAGTCTCTATGACCAATGACCTCTCTGTGAATGCAAAGGGGTCCACATCTCAGGCACCTGCTCATGGGGCTGTATGTTGTTTCCAGGGTACACAGCTCTGTACAAACACACTGAAGATGGGTTTGGAACATGGCAGCATTTACATATTTAAAAAGTTCAGGCACATTTGGATGCAAAAAAAAAAAAAGAATAGAAATTTTTCTTGAACCTCTGAAAGACAGTGCAAAATTGAAGTGCCATAATCAAGGCAGCGGTTACTGAGAAAACAATTATAAATGACATAGAAAGAGGTCACACTCACTTTAACCCAAATGAAAAGGAGATGCAGTTAGAAACAGAGGAATCACACTAGTGAGAAGATGAATATTTGGGACCACAGTTTAATTCATTTGCTCCAGTTGAGAGTAAGTTTTCAGGGAGTTCACCTAGGAAGTGTGCAGTGTAATCTGGATCATCCTCCCCAGACTTGCACCGAAGGGAAGCAGGATAGCCTCAGAAACTACTATACGACTCTATCTGCCTTCCAAATAACTAGTTTCTCAAAGCAGATTTGCCTGTGAATATTAGCTATGACTACGGCCCTAGTGATCATTCCCGGCATCCACAGTCCATCTCAGAGTGGGAAAGTATGAAGAGGAAAGGATTTGGAATTGGTTTCATGGAGGGGTTCTCTAAACCAACAGCCTAACTCAATGGCCATTTCAGTGTCTAAGGTTTTAATGCGAGAACACTTTAATGTGATCGAGAGTAAATTATCAGGAAGTCCCTTATTTGTTCAGCCCCCAGAAGGCATGGGATATGGCATGGTTAGACGGCCTTGCAAGGTTCAGAGGAAACTCTAACCAACGACTCCACTTCCTTTGGGGCTGGATTTTGCAACCTCTGTAGGGTCTTCTCTTTGGATGAACTAGCCTCTCTGATGGTTGCATGACAGCATTCCAGAATCTTTACGGCAAGCCCGGAGCCAGGCAGCGGCCAAAAGAAACACAGACCACTAGCTAGCTATTTCTTAGATGGTACCACGGACGATGCTTGCTCTTCCGTAGAACCCTGGCTGCCATTTTAGAAATGGTCATCATTCGCAGTTCACAGGGCACTAGAGGAATACAGAAGCCTGGTTCATACCCCAGGTGCCAGTATCCATCTGCCTCAAAATACTTGCAAGGCTCTTATTACTGTATTTCCCACTCTTGAAATTCCTGAACCTACTTCCCCACCCTACCCTAACCCCCAGGTTGATTATATCTTTCAAAACTTAAATTGCCTCGGGGAGGGCGGGCGGAGGGGGCGATACAACATGTTCCCTACCCCCAACAGCAGTACCAGCTGCAAAGTGTCAGCTGTCCATTAGTGGCACTTCAAATAAGAATAAAAAGAGACTTCTAAAATTATTTGAATTTCCCTGGGCTAACATTCCAACCATCTGGTGTTCTCTGCCCATTTCAAAGGTAGTAGTATCTTTAACATGAATACAAACACATTAGATGAACAATGTAAAACCCTCCACTTTATTATTGTTTGGATTTAGCTGCTATTACATCATCTATAGTACTAGAAATTTTTTGTCTGTTTTTATTTTTTTAAAAGAAAATCTAAGTATAAACATTAAAAAGAACCCACTGACCCATTAGGTACTGTCCAAAAATATTACTACTGATATTTTGGTAAAGCAAAATTAGCTGCCCTGAATAATTTTCCTTTGCAGGCATAATCTCTGCTACATAAGATTGTCTATCATTCGATATCCAACAATAGGCATCTGGATTAGTGCTATTTTGTCTACTGTGGATATAAAAGTTGATATGAAACGTGATCTTCATTTAAATGAATAATCACCAGGCCCTACGCATCAATGACTGCATACATGACAAGGTAGCTATACAAAAAAACTAAATATTTTTCGTTGGTTTTGCACGTTTAACCCAGTCAAATGAAATCCAGGACGGAATTACTACATTCAATTGTCTGATAAACAAGCATTGTAATTTCAAAAAAAATATATATTATGCTATATAAGGTGCTTCTTAAACAAAACAACAAAAGAATTATGTTCTAAACATATCCTTACTGCAGATACACAAAACTGCCCCTAAATTCAGATGCACATATATGAAAAAAACTTTTCTATTTTTTTATTTTTTGGCCCTCCCAGGTTCCTAGTCCTTTGGTGCTCGCTTACTAAGTAATCAAAAATGAATGAAATCCACTTTTTGAAACAGGCATCCCAAGAGAAGCCCTAGAAGATCGGCTGGGTTGTTGGTAACACATCACCTCTCAACGGGGTTTGAATCATACCCAGTGAGGTCGCCGGAGGAAACCAAACTTACTTTTTGGCTGAGAAGAAGAGATAAACCCTAGTTGCTCTGGAGAATCAAAGGCCTAGGAAAGGCTGCCCTGCGGCTGGACTGAGCCCTTCTTGTTTAGCCTATAGGGCAAAGGATTCCTATGGCCCAATTCTAGTCTCGCTCTCTTGGCTTATGAAGTTTAATGAAATGAGCTTTGGGGTACTTTTTTTCCCCAAGGCCAAACCCTGGTTTTTGGATGAGCTCTAAACAACCAAGAGCACGTGGAGTCTGACCCGGTCCCCGGCAGCCTGAGTAGGGAGCCTCTAAGCATCGCCCTCCAGCCCCACCCGACAGCGTGCTGGGCCAACTGGAGGAACACAGCTGTCTACTGCTGCTCCTTCCAGCCAGGGGGGCGAGAAGAGAAGGGGTGCCCACGGGTCCCAGGGCGGCCCCACAGTGCACACAGGGCCTGCCAGGGGCACTCCTGGACAGAGCTACCGCCTGAGGCAGGGTCACCATGAGCCTCTCAGTTTTATCCGGGTTCTACCCTACTTTCCTCCTGTTCTCTAGTATTTACAATAATCATGCACATTTACTATTGACCCAAGTGCCCCAGGGCTAAAAGTGTCACCAGGGTGCCTATTGATTTAAACTGTCCTTGGTCATATGCTGGGCACTGCTACGTGTGATGAATTCACCCTCTGTGTAAGTTACACACCAGGAAGAGCCTGGCAGAGCGCCCTCTGCTGGTAGGTGTGAGACCACACAAGACTAGGTCCTGAAGCTGATACTCAGCAAGTCCTGGGGGGAGAAGGCTAAAAACAAAACCCCAATAATTTATCCCTTAAAAGGAAACTGGTCTATGTGGAGGTGACTTAACTGGGATCAACTTGCTGTTTTCCATAGGTCCATGGGAAGCAAGAATTAACTGGAACCCATGACCTGTACAGTGTTCTCAAAAACCAGTGGAAGAACATTCAGCAAATCTGAAGGTCAGTGTATTAACTTGACAACGTTTTGACAATTAGGGGACCCTCCTTCTCTGTGGGCATCTTGTATTCCTATAGGGCAAATGAATGGACAATCACTGAATATTCAGCTCCAGCCATGCAGCAGAGCAAAAGCTTCAAGGTATTACTTTAATAAAATGATATGTTACTATAGGAATACAAGACGATGCCATAATGAACCCTTGACCTAGCTTTCTCCCAGTCAGCAATTAAAGGAGCCACTTTCAAGTCTTTCCTGGGGCTTTTTCTTAGATCCATTAAAAAGCACTTCACAGAGATGAAATGTCCACTCTGCAGGTCTGGGTCTCAACAAGTAGCTTAAATGCACAGTCACCTGAGTCCCAGCTCATAGACTGAGTTCAGTCATGAAAAGCTACAGAATCCTCACGCTTAGTAATGTAGCAAAGGGAGAGAGAGAGAGAGAGAGTCAAAGAATTTAGCCCTGGAATCCCTTTGGCTGTTCCCAAAAGAAGGAGTGCCACTAAGAACTGAGCAAGCAAATGGCCACTCGTATTAGAAAGCCACGGTGGTGGATGCATGCTGGAGTGTGCGCAGGAGCGGAACTCTGCTATCGTGATGCCTGACGTGGGTAAAATGCCGCAGGGATTCTCAGGACCTTGGGGTAGCCTGGGAGCTCTCAGACCGTGGTGGGGAAACTCCCTGCCTCCTCGGTGATGTAATATGCTTGCAAGGAATGTGATGAAGTTGAGCCCGTGGTGGCCAGCTGGCTCTGGTTCATCTCCTCCACAGGCGCACCCCCACGGCTGGCTGGGGCATGCAGGCGGTGGGCATCCAACATCTCCAGCAGCAGGTCGTAGAGAGGCACCACGTTCTTGCACTTCATGCTGTACAGGTGCTCCATGCCTTTGTTACTGCGGGTGGGAAGACACAAAGAGGACCACTTTAGAGCATCCCAAGCTCCGGGGCTGCTGCGACGCCTAAGGAGGGGAAGTAAGGGAAACTCCAAAGACACCTGCCTGTCAATTTTTCTCCCTGTTTAAAGAGCCATTTCAGGGTTTGCTATCCAGGTGCCTTCCTTCCCCTGACTCAGATGAGGTTCTCTTCCCCTCTATTAGCATTACATCTAAAAAGAGAACAGAGACGAGACAGCCGTGTAGGAGGGAGTTTTTCAAAATGCGGAAAACAGGTCAAGAAGTTGACTTGCTTCAGACTTTCCAGGTGTTTGCCATTTAATCAGAATAAAATCTAAATTTCTTTCCGGGCTCCACAAGGTCTAAGTGATGTGGCTTCTGCCGACCTCTCAGAGCTCCCCCTGCCTTTCTCCCCTAGCTCATGCTCTTTCACCACGCTGGTTTTTGTGCTAGAACGAAAAACGAAACTGCGCTTTGTCAGAGAGAGCTTGAAGAAACTGAGCGCTTTACTTCCAGACGCAGGTTGTTTGCACTTGCTGCCCCCTCTGCCTGGGAGCTCTTTCCCCAAACCTTCAAGTGCCACCTCCTCTGAAAGGCCTTTTGCTGCCACAGTGACCTCAGGCACTGCGGCTTTCGCCGTCCTCTTGCGCTTGCTCCATTTTCCTCCCGGCGCTAAGACAACCTGAAATTCCTCTCTGGACACACGCAGCACACACGGCGCAAGCTCCCTGAGGGGCAGCGATGTGCCCATCCTTCAGCAGCCCACAGCAGTGCCCAGAATGTGCTAGATGCTCAGACAACATGGGGCAAGTGGACACAGGGAAATGTAGGCAAATGGCATTTCTTCTTTTAACCTCTGTCCGCCCCTGTCTTCCCCCAGCCACAACTCTGCTCTTTCCCCACCACACCACCAATGGAAAAAATATAGAACACCTCTTAGCGATCTTGAGATTTTTTTAGAAAGAATTATGTATCCTGAGGAGATAGGACCAGGAGAGTGTCCTGGAAAATACTCGCAATTTTTAGTAGGGGAAGAGTCTGCACAAGTTGGAGACATGCCATGAAAACACGGCATCAGACTATTCAGGTCTTACAACACCACAACCTAATTACATATCTAAGTGGGGGGTTTTGTTTGTTTGTTTGTTTTTCATTTAAAATGCTGTTAATGTTAAATGCCGGCTGGACCTCACACTGTCTTGCTCGTGCAACCTAATGAATCACATTTATAGTCACATGAAATCTGGTGTTAAGTTGTCTGAGTAACAACATATGGCTGGGGCCAAGCTTAATAAAACAGAGTTCTGTGATTTAGACTGGCTGTAATAAGGCACCAAAACATTAGTGTGTGTGTGTGTGTGTGTGCGCACGCGTGTGCCCCAGTGAGAGAGAAAATGCTCACAGCTTTCAATAGAAAAGCAGCTTCTCTCCAGCCTTTCACACAATTCCAGCAAACTCTAGAGAGCTCTCTCACTGCGGCTGCCCTCCACCATACGTTGCCAATAAAACTACCAGACGCCTGTAAATTTAGTGCAGATATGTCGGGGTATTAACTAATTAGGCTTGTTACTGCTGAAAAGCAGTTGACAGATTTGAAAATTCAGCATTTCCTACCAACAAATAAAAACCTTCATCTGCAACATGGTTTCTACAACATCTTTGGAATTCCTAGCCCAGAGTAAAAGCTAATACATTTCTTCAAGGGGAAGTTTACTCTCTCAGCCAGGAAATCTGGTTAGAGGATTGTTATTCTGACACATTCCCTGCTTCCCTCTTTGTAATATTCATAAATATAAACAGATGGGAAAGGACTGGAAATGTGTACTCTGAATGCAGTCCCCCACTCTACCTGGCCAAGGTGAGTCCTCCGTTTATGATACCAGATACGTAGGGAATCCCTGAGAACAGAGACTATAATCACTCTCTCAAACTTTGCCAAGTGGAAGTCATCAGATGGGAATTTGGAATTCATAGGGTAGGGAAAATACTCAAGTAATTCTCATTCATCCATTTACTCACATATTCATTCACTCAGCAATAATGCTGTGAGCCTACACAATATATATGACACCATATATGGGACTGTGGGGGAAGACTAAGAAAGAAAGATACATTTATTTTCTCAAGAAGCTATCCATTTTCAAGATCCTCTCCAGAGAGCGTGATTCTTGGGACTCTGATGGGACAAGCTTCTTGCCACTTGATGCATAATCTCAAGGTTTGAAAGCCCCTTAAAAACTGAGCCAACCCTCCAGACACCTTGGCCCTTCCCTCACAGCCGCTAAGAAAAGAAATTTTGCTTTCATTCCTACGGTCTGGGTGTAAGCCCAAGGTCATATAGACTTCATCACACATGGGTACCTGATCCCTAGTATCATCACTTCACCTCATTTTTATGGCCTTTCTGGAGTAAAGAATTTTTTCTTTCTCTCTCTCTCTCTCTTTTTTCCCTCTACTTTCTTTATCTCTCCCCCGCAGGCTGAGCTCTGTTCATGGGAATAGTATCCACTAAGCCTCTGGCCAGCCACTTCACGTGACTATTTGAAATGGAAATGAGACCACTTTCTCCTTTTGGCACAGAAAGGCTCCATTTCCTTTGCTAATATCCTTCCTTAACTCCTATACAAAATATTTATTGAGTGGTTCCTGTGCTAAGCCCTATGCTAGGTGGTATTGGGTACCCGGAGTATCCAAGGTGGGTTGTGGTAACTGCCTCACAGAGTTTAAGGTCTAACTGGGGCAGAGAGAAAAATAAAATGGGCAGCAGCAATCAGGAAGGATAGGGTGCAAATCCCAACCGGGTGAAGGGTCAGGAGACCCTTTCTGAAAAGAATATCTAAGCCATGATGGATTAGCTTACTGTTCACAAAAATCCATTCCCCGTGCCACATGCCCCTGATCCTGACCTTAAGCCTCATTATGTGATTTGTTGGCCAGTGGAACATTAGTCGATGTGACTCAGCTAAAACATGACAATGCACTTGCCCTTACAGGCTTGCTTTCTTGTACCTCTGCCATCACGATGAGAAGAATATGTCCCAGCTAACCTGCAGGTACAAGGAGACTAAAAGACACATGGAAGCAGAGTCACTTGGCCAACCTGGAGTCTCCCAGCTGTGCCCAGCCTCCATCAGCTGTCCCGCAGATGTGGGAGTGAACCCAGTGGGGATGGACAGAGCTGCCAGCCAATCTGAAGCTCCCCCATGACTAGGAGAACAGTTGTTTATGGCCAGAGCTCAGACTCTCAGGAAGCCCTAGAAAGTTAAGGAAGGGCTAGAGCACAGAAGTTATATAAGCAAAATAAAGGGACTAAAGCAATGAGACGTTTTTCAGGGTTTTAAATAAAGGCATGACGTGAGGAGATGTGGTATGAGATGGCCGCTCTGGCTCTGGTGTGGAGAATGGGTTAGGAAGGGTCAAGACTGAAGGCAAGGAGGTGCGTGAGGGGGCCACTGCAGAAATCCAGAAGGAATGATGGCTTGAATGCGGGTAGCAGCAATGAGGGGTGGCAAGGAGGGATCTGAGAGGAAGGGAGGAATCAGTGTTGACTCTCCGTGAGGCATGAGGCATAGGCACAGAGGTTCTCTTAGAATTTCTAAGTGTACTAGGGGGAATGTGGTGCAGGAACCATAAGGGATGCACCTAGGGCCTTCAGAGGATAGGTGTGCTCATAGACTGTCCTTGCCTGGTAGGACAGAGTGAACCACCAAACATTGCCTTCCTCCCTCAACCCGCACCCTGCGCACCCCTCCCCCCATGAGACCCTGTGTGGGCTTCCAACTGAGTGCAAATGTCATGCCCTCTAGGAAAGCTCTCGAAGGCCTGCCCCGTGCCCTAGACAGATTTCCGTCTCACCTCCCTTGCCCTCTCATGTGCCAGGAACTGCGCCAAGTGGGCTATCTGCATTCAGGCACCAGCACTTTCCAGCCCAGCGGTACATGCGTGGGGGCTGGTGTTCCTTACGGGGCTCCTGTGGGGAACCCGAGGGTGCCTCACCTCATGTGCCTGATGTGGGAGAGGATGAGGAGGAGCTGGGCCAGACGCCGGTGCTGCTGCTGGAGTGTGAGGCCCGCCTTGGCCATCAGATGGATCAAGGTGTCTGTGATCTTGTCCAGGACACGGTGGATATGGTCCTTCTCTTCCAGAGACTTCAGGGTGCTGGACAGAAATGTGTACACTCCTGAATGTGCAGAGAGAAAGTGAGACAGAGAAACTCAAAGACGATGAGGTCTAGGAGACGGGCAGTGTGCGTGGGATAGGACACCCGGTGGGCGCCTTCCCCCCACCCACAGCAATGGGGAATTTTGGGACCCATTTGATCTAAGCAACTCTACAAAATTCCTAATCAACATACATGTCTGAGAGCACTGAGAAACCCATCCGGCTTCCTGTACGTGAGCCAATTTCCAGGCTTTGACATCAGGATTCCCAGGAAAGGCACCGCTTGCCTTGGGGCAAACACTAGCCCCCCACTCTCTGTCAGGTCTGACCCCAACACAAACTCTCCCATTAACGCCCACAATAACCCTGTGAGTGAGGCGTTATTATTCCTTTCCTCAGGAAGAAACCGAAGGGCAGAAAAATGCATCAACCTGCTAAGAGAACTCCCCAGGACAAAGCAGAGCTGGGAATGAAACCCCACGTGTTGACTCCACACCACATCTGGTCATTGTTACGGAGACTCTCAGAAGACATGTGCCACTCTGGTAAGATGCACAGAGAGCAAGAATGATTTGTGCAGTGATTGACAGCTCATTTTTCCAGGTAGGATCTAATTTGCTGTTACGTTTCAGGTCAGGCTTAGGGCCTTTTCATCCTCAGCTCAAAGGTTTATGATGAGGGTGGGGAGGTGTAGAAGACCCTGGGAACTGCTGTTTTTCACTGCCAGGCTGTTTGGTTTTGGGTTTCTTTCCCCAACCCCCTCCCCGCCCCCGCTCTTGCCTTTGTTCTGGTGATAGACCCTACTTCCTGGGCCACAGGACAGAAATTAGACAATCAGGTCACTCTATTCTTTGGGACGGTATTAGCCCTGAGTTAGACAATCAGAGCTTTTTCTGGGATTGTATATGGAAGTTGTGAGACAGAAATTCTTCCCTCTAGGTTGCTGAGCTTGAAGGGTAAGAATACCCCTTTCAAGTAGTGGCCCTTTCCCTGACCATGGGGAGTTTCCACCTGCCGAACTGAGCTGAGCAACAGGGAGCAGAGGTGGAAGGTACATGGCAGTGGGGTGCCAGGGCCGGGGTAAATCTTGGCTCCAGTCACGAGGTCCTACCTTTACATTGTTTTCCTTTGACCTTGGAACTTCCATGGTATCCTTTCTAACACATGAATCCCCAAATTCCCTTCTTGCTTAAGATAGTGTGAGTGGGTTTCTGTCCCTTATAACTGAAAGAATGTGACTATTTGAGTTGTGAACTCAGCCCAGGACCAGAGGAAGGTGAGTGAGAAAGAGGTGGGAAGTATTCAGAGTAAGAGGAGGACAGGATGGATCAGTCTTGTCTTGGGACCATAAGGATGGATTTCCTATCAAGTAAATACTCCAGAAATAAGCTCCAACCTGCTTAATCATACCACGTTACAAGATGCAGATGATGCTGTATTTTTCTCCAGATGATGCATTATGTATTTAGCAACACTTCTTTCAGTCTCAACCTCTATTGAGCCCACCGGCTCTCATAAAGAGATTTCTTCTCATCCCCTCCCCTCCTGTTCCTCACTGGTACCTTCAAATTAAGGCCCCCAACGCTATGAATCCCTGACTCTATACTGGTAATGTGGTGACAAGTCACTGCTCACAGCGCAGCCCGTAGGTTGGGGATGGGGAAGATACCTCCACCGTGGAATTCACAGTAAACAGAGTTGTAATGGCCCAGAATGGAAAATGGCTAAGCTTTAAAAGAAATACAACAATAACAACAAAACCAGGATGGTCAGGATCTTGGCTTACATGCAGTTGAGTAGACTAATGTAGCTTTTGGTACCCAGGGACCCTTGGATCCAAAGCAAATAAACTACAGAACGAGTAAGCAATAGACAGGCAGTGAAATAAGAAAGAAATTGCTGGATTCCTTTACCTATGTTCCATGTGAACTGTTGATAGAGAAAGAATGTGTCCACTAGAAAAATGGGCAACTGTCTAGTGGCCCTGGGGTTAGCCTGCAGGTGATGGATAGCGGGAATAGTGGTGCACCCATGGGTTGGAGGTCAGAGGCACGTCCGAGCTCCTCTGGCCCTACCTCTCACTTCCCTCTCTGTCATCACACACATCCGAGCCTCACATCTCCGGAGGCCCTGCATCTGGCTGGATGTCCTGGGAACCTCCCAGGCCACAGAGCTGAGTTAATCCAACTTGGATGATGCCTTTTCTACCAATTTCCTTTTTTGTCACCACTGGGGATGCTGGCCTCACTCACCAATAATCCCGTTCTGGTTCAAGGGAACCAAAGACATGAGGAGCAAGCAGTTTCAAGGTGACACCCAGCCACCTTGCTCTTCCTCCATGTGAGTGCACACATGGATTCCTTCCTTTGGCAGGCTTTCATTTAGGACCTACTGTGTGCGTGCGCTATGTTACTTAATAGGGATTCCAAGCCTTATTTTAAGTGTTAATGTTTTAAGTGCAGATATTTCCTGTGGAGAAAGAATTTTCTTAACACTGACTCTTGGGCTGCAGGCCGTTCTCAGAACAAGCCTGTTTTTCTAGTCCTGGATGAAACCAATACAGCTTATCATTTCATCCTTGTCAACAGTTGCCTCCTAGCTATGTAAATATACTCTGAAATAAAAATACTGTCCTGCTGAAATGCCAATAATTGACAACAGCAGCCATCATCCTTTTGGGCTTTTCTGGCAAAATGTGGTCCATGTTGGCTGCCTGTCGCCTCTAAGGAGACGTTTGTGAGAAACAACAGAAATCCAAATTCCCAGAACGCTTCAGGTGCTCCAGCAAATACAAAACTGGGCTGCTGGTAATTTCCATATCCCAGGTGGTCTCTGCCACCCTGGACGGCTGCACCACTGTGCCCACAGCCCAGAGCCAGTGATCAGACAGTGCGGGCCTTCAGAAATATTCTTGCAACAAGGCTGGCTTTGCAACTCTCAGAGATACTCCAAATCCCCAAGATGTAAAAAAAACAATCTGGATGTCATTATCCAGTCTTAAAGTGTTATTAGCAAATCTGAGCTTCTACATATTCTGAATCTTGGCCAACACCGGGAGATGCAGGAAGAGTCTATGGAGAAATCTGATGGTAGAAAAGAAGCCACAAGGACCCCCCATATAGAAGAGATCTCAATTCAATCTTTCTCACTCTCTTGCTCTCACCGACTCTTGATTCCACTCTCTCTCTCTCCTCTCATTCTGCTTGGATCCTTCCGCTCTTCCTTCTTTCTTTTCTCTCTCCACCCCATAGGAATCCCTCTCTACCGCCGTCACTTGTCCAGACAATGGAGTCTTCCAGAAGCTGGAGGAAAGCAGGAAGGGACACTGAGGGCATGTATGCATGTGGCTGTGCCCAGAAGGGAGCACTAGCACAACCAGGCACTGCCTGCACTCGCAGGTACATCTGACTCTTCTGAAGGGAATGAGAAGTGCCGAGGCCTGTGGCTTAGCAGATGCTTCAAGACAAATTCTTCAAACAAGGACACATGTTTTCTTTTCCAAAAGGAAGAATGTGACAGTAAACCCTGGGAGAATCCTTCACTCTATGGCAGTTTGACCAAATTAAAAAAAAGATTTAAAGGGTAAAGGTAGCAAAGAAAATTCCTCAAGTCCACAGTGGTAAGTGGTCTGGGCCAGCAAGCTGCCACCCCACTTGCATCAAAAGGGACTTCTCTTTCTATCCTGTTCACCCAGCAATTAATCCGCAGGTCAGCCTTTAGGCCTTTAACCCTAAAGTAAGCAAAGAGCACTTCTGCTCAGAAATGCCTTCGAGACTGACAGTTTGATGAGCACTCCATTTGTTTTGTGCTTCACCTACGACTGCAGTTCTTCCTGGGGATCGTACTGTTCCCTGTGGGGTTTTGGGACAGTTCGCGGTTGCTACAGCTACTTAATGGGAGAGACCTGTTGGATGTCCTACAAGGTGTGGACAGTCCCAAATGATGAAGGATTTTTTCTCCTTGAATGTACTAATGAATTAATCCTACTACAAATAAAAATTTTGTCGTGAAAAGTTTTTACAAGACTGTACACAAAAAGTCCAGTATGCAGGCTGGCCATATAGAAAGGGAAGCTTAAATGGAATACCTTTTCCCCATATTTTTAAATAATTTATTCACTTGTTGCAGCCAACTGAAGGTATTACATAAGCTTTCCAACTATATGGTTAGTTGAAATGATTTCAGTGCAGGTGTACTGTTACTACAAAAGAAACATAACTGGTTGCAATATAGAGAACAGATTTAAGACTCTCCTTCTAAACAAAATTAGAATCAACTATTCAAGAGTAGACATCAACGAAATACTGTGTTATTGCCCCTATGTGTTTTTAAATAATTTTGTGGCAAAATAAGAAATCCATTTTGTGAAAAGTACATACTAAAATTATTTTGGGGTTCTTGTCTTCTGTCTTGGACATTGACATTGTCTCCAGAGGTTTCCCACAGACTTCTTGATCACCTCTTATATGTATTACTGTTTCTTTTTCCAGTTCATCATCTCTTCTCCATTGCTTATCCAAAGGATATGGTCTCTAAGGCCTTTTTAAGTTCTATATACTGAATATCTGCCTTGAAAGTTATGAGATTTTAAGATAGGATATGTTTCATATGAGAGTATATTTCCAGTATAACAACATACAGTGACTGAAAGAGAAGGTATGAAAAAAGATTTTCCATGCAACTGGAAATGAAAAGAAAGTGGGTATAGCTGTACTTATATCAGAAAATATAGACTTAAAAATAAAAACTTTAAAAACAAAGAAGGGTATTACATAACAATAAAAGGGTTAATCCAACAAGAGAATATAACATTTGTAAATATTTATGCACCCAAAATAGGAGGGCCAAAATATATAAAGCAGATATTAACAGACCCAAGGGAGCAATACAATAATAGCAGGGTACTTTAACAACCCACTTACATCAATGGATATAGCATCCAGGCAGAAAATCAGTAAGGAAGACCAGCCTTAAATGACACATTAGACCAGACGGATGTAATGGATATATACAGAGCAT